GAGTTTCCCATGTGTGGTTGGGATTAGTAGATGGACTCCACCTTGGCATGTCACACAGGCTATGAATAACTTTTTTCCTTTTTAATTTATCCCGAGAGAGAAAAGAGTCCGGAAGGGGCACCTGTTTTGTTGCCTGTTATATTTGTGACATTTTTTCTCTTTTTACCGTTGTCAAAAGGTAGAATTCGAAGTTCACCCCTGTTCTTTCAAGCAGAGTTGTGGCTACCCAATTAATATAGATACATTTCATATCTTGTACTGAGTCAAGGGTCAGGCGTCCCCAGAGTATCTATATGGCTTCTTTTACGGTGAAATAATGAACCTATGTTCTTTCTGGGATATAGCAAAATCAGCTTGGTTTTTTTAGGAGGTTTGATGGGTGGAATCATTGTTATTTTTTCTTACCCATTGTTTGGTGAGTGTGGTGGGATGGGATGCAGATTGCACTTTTGTTTTTCTGATAAGTTGAGAGTGTGAGAAAGTTCCATATTGACCTTAAGAAGTGAGTGAACGGTATTCAAAAGTAACATGCACCGCCATCAATGAAATGTTTTGCTTAAATGCTCAGTTGATAACATGATTCTTTGTTTCTTCATATGAACTCATATAAAGATACCTGGACTGGAGGTGTTGAAACATACATTGTAAACTGAATGTCATCTTTATCTGTTTACTGTATTTCAAGGTGAAATTATAGTTATTTGCTATTACCCATTCTGTGGTAAGTGTGGTGGATGAGGGGCAGATTGCACTTTTGTTTTTCTGATAAGATGACATTGTGAGAAAGTCCCATGTTAAACTTAAAGGGATAGGCTATTCAAAACGCTTAAAATTTAGCACCATGTTTAGTACAATACATAAGCATATGCATAAAATTAGGTCATAGAGAAATTTACTGATCGTATTTGACCATTGTTAGACTTTATTCATACACGTCACTTAAACCAAGAGACTTTATTCATACACTACACTTAAAATTTACTTCACTTTTGACGACATGAAGACATGCCCTGTTTAACATCATGGACTTACTTACCGTCTAGTCTTCATGTCTTCAGGATGCCTTGGGACACATGAGAAATTGATCCATTACCTTGTTTGTTTTAAACAGACTGTTTAAATTGCTGAGATAATTTAAAATGAAACACTTTTCTTTTAATGTGTAAGGTTAAATCATTTGGTCTTTTTTTCAGTATATAATTTGTTCTTATAGTGTATTTGTGTCAATTTCTGTTTGCAGCATGCAGTTAGCCGGAGTGACTATGACAATGTGATTGGTGCCTTGCCTTATCTCAAAGTAAATAGAAATGCTAAGTAAAGACAGTGTCTTCAAGTGTCATGTGAGGACTTGATTATTTTGTTGCCTTGTAATTTCTCACAATTATGTCAGAGAAAAGTTTGTTGATTGTTTTAATTTCTAATTTGAATTTTATTTTTTTCCACTCATGTTGACACTCAGACTCCAGTTTACGACATCACACAGATAAACATTACATGCATCAAATGCCTATTCCTTGGATGGTGGATGCTTTGGGGTTTAAAAAAGAGGCTTAGGCCATCCATAAGAATCCTCAATCATTTCTGCTCTAAACAAAAGGGATAGATGAGTTCATGACATCTCTTGTATTTGCTTTATTATGTTACTGTTGTGTGAAGTCTACCTTTTCATTGGTATTTGTTCTAATAGCAATTCATTTGGTTAACAAGAATTGATTTCTGGAGTGCAATAAGCAGTCCTTGCAACTAAACTTTGGTGAATAGAAGGAAGAGTAGATGATTCACGAAACGACGACGGAATTTAACAATGGAGTGGTTATACATGGTGGGCTATTTTGGGGACAGAAAAAACAGTAAGTGTAGCATTTTTGGTTTGTTATAATTGGTAGGCATCACTGTCCCTAACAGGAAACTGATTTGGTAGAGCAATGCTATCCCTACCAGCAAAATCTTGTTGCAAATTTCCATCTTGATAAAGAGCCTATTCTGTTCTTGACTACTTGTTAGTAACTGAAGTTCACAAAGCTAAATGAATGGAATGTTTTCCCATCATGGGCTCAAGTTTTTGCTTATTGGCAGACTATCTTTCAAACTCATCAAATCTTGTTTTCTCCTATTAAGGTTGAGAACATGTCATGTTCCTCTTTGTAGGGTCTCACACCCATCAAAATAGAATTTCAGAACCAAAGTAAAACACACTTGGCAGGTATCTTTGAACAGCAGGAGAATGGAAAGTTAATAAAGGTGAAGAGAAGAACAACCCTTTTCTTTTGCCAATTTGCTCCAACATTATGCTTCTGCAAAAGAATGAAAAGATGGATAGTGTGAAATACTATTGAAGTGTTTCTTTCACATCCTACTCTTGGTCTATTAAAAAAAGAGAAAATGATTTTATATATGGTGATTTAATTTTATTTATTTATTTATTTTTTTTTTCATCCCTCATTTTTCAATACATTCATTATGGGTATTCACGTGTAGAAGAGTTGGATTCAAATTCGAGACTAACTTCTACCTACTACTGACTTCTAATCACATTGCATTGTAATGTACCAAACGACACCTTATAGTTTCCTTCTTCTCATTTCCAACCTACCATAGTCCTTGAACACTTACCCTAATAAGACACCTTCCAGAAAAAACATGCAACGAGTCCTAATGGTAAGTTAATTGTTTTGTTCCTTGTTCCAATGTCCTTGTCTCCTCTCGATGTTCATTGTATCTTTCCACAATTTATGGCTTCAAGAGGAAAAGCATGAATTTTGGTTAGCGAAATCCTCAAACTCCACTTTCATCTCCCCTCGTTTCCAGGAGGTACTTTAGAAACAACAAACTGAGGAAAATTTTTAATAAGCTACAAACATTATTTTCGTTTTCTCCTTCCATATATAATTAATTTTATGGGATTGATCCCACGAGTAAGAAAATAATAATTAAAAAGATTAAAAATAAAACTAATGATGCTTTATGGCCATGTGGGATTGATCCCCACAAGAAAAGAAAAGTAATATTTTCAAAGTGGAATTGATGTCAAAATTTATGAAATTATTTTCAAAAAGAGAGAAAACAAACAAAAAACGCTTTATACTTTTCTGAGATGTAAAGTTTTTCTCCTTTCAAATGAGAAAAAAAAAAGACTAAAATATTTTTCAAAAAAAATTTTCAATCCTGTCAAATCGAGCTTAAACCTCCATGAAAACTATGATAAATTGGAAAATAATTAATGGTTTAGAGACCCTAGAGAGAAGTGATGTGTCTATTAAATTTAAGCTAATGATAAATTTAACTTAGCTAAACCAAAATGATTTAACTTTTATCAAGATTCGGCAATAATTTCGGGATTTGACAAATAACAAGAAGCGTAGAGAGCGGTCGCGTTTGGCGGCTTGGCTATATATTGCGTTGTGTTAAATGTGCTTAAATGTCAAGAGACTGGGCAAACTTTTCAAATCGCAAAGCCGGCCTTCATTTCTGGACCCCACCTTTCTATTTAATAACCTAAAATATCTCATCGTGTACCTCCCCTGTGCAAGTGGTATCAAATTCCAGTTTTATTTCTCTAAATACAATGCTAGTACGCAAATGTAATGTCGTTCCAATCGAAGCACCTCTCTGTGAGCTTTGAACCGCCGACCTCTAATCATATCAACGCCTTTAATTAATTGTATCAGAGAATATTCTTGTCCCATTTTCACCACGTTTTTGGTATGACCACTTAGACGGTCCAACATCTTAATGATGATCCATGATTACATCGTCTGTTAATGCTCCAATCAAAAGGAGACAATATTTTAATTCAATTCGAAGTAGAACATGAAGCAATTAAATAAAAATTTAATGTTTTAAAAAGTTGTCAAACTATTTTACAAATTTTTAAAACTTTTATTACATTTAATTAAATTTTTATATTTTTTTATTTTAAATTAAATAAATCATTAAAAATATACTCATTATCATTCGTTAAAATATTAATTATCATTTTATATTATATGACATTGATATGGAGACAAAAATGACATATGATCATATTTTTTTGTTATACTATTCTCTTACGTTATCATTATTATGATTATATTCTAGTAAATCTTATTTCTTAAAAATGCTTTTATTTTATAATGAGATAAGAATTAGTGTTAATCAAATCATCAATTTCTTTTTCTTTTTATTTTTTGAGAATTTCATATAAAAGAAACCATTTGTAATTTTAAATTTTTGAAAAACACTTTTAATTATACACTTGTCTTTTAATTTTATTTTTTATGAAAAAACAAAAAATTGACCTTTTTTATTTTCAAAATCATTTGTTTTTCATGTGAAAAAGTTAAGTAATGTTTAAGGACACAAAGGAAGACCTTGAGATTTCCATTAAAATGTCAACTGGTGTGAGGTGCATTTAATTGTTAAGGAGTGTCTTTTAAGATTAGTTAAAATACTACTTATAATAATATTTTACGTATTATAAATTTAATAATTGATATATAATAAATTTAGATAGTATTCTAATTTACAGAAAACGTTTAAAAAATAAATGAAATGGGTTTTCCTCAATAACATATATTAATGTCATCTATATTTTCTGGTTTGTAGATCGACAGCGATATGACAAAATAACTAGAAATAAACTAAAAAGTCATGACGATGGTGGTAATATTATAAAGAACTAGATGGCAGAGAGACTTAGATGGCGAAAGAGAACTGAAAGAGTATTTAATTTGTTTAGATAGTGAGATGAAGAAATAAAGAGATTAATTTGTTTGAAATGGTTTTACGAGCATTTTTATTATCTCATGAGTAAAATTTGAATAAAATAATTAACTTTGTATTAAAGATTATTTTTGAAATAGATTTATGAGGTTGAGGATTTTTCACAATTTATTTTAAATTTAAATAATGAAAAGAGATATTTAATATAATAACTTTAAAAGTGTCCTCAAAGCAAGTATAATATAGTAATGTATGAAATGAAAAGAAAATATGAAAATAGTATTTTATTAACCTTAAATTTAAAACATTTAATTAAGTTTAGCAAGTATATATGAACATCCATTAATTATATGTTTTATTAAGTTTATGCCACTGGCGACTAGCCTGATAAATTAACATACAACAAAATAATATTTTATTTGTTTCAAATTAAATATATATTTTTCTTTTTTTAATTCGTTTTAAAATTAATTCATTATTCTATTTTAGGCATGTATACTTCTTAATTTTTTCAATATTTTTATAATAAATTTTATACTTTTTTATATGGAAACTATAAATTTATTAATGTTATAAAAATAATTTTTTTAAAACATCATTAAGAAAAGGAAAAACATTTTTTTAAATGTTCATACCCAATAAAAAATAAACTTTCAATTTTGAATGGGATCATATTACAGTATAACTTCTTTAAATTCATATTTGATAAATTAATAATTTTGATTAAATAATATTTTTAATTGGTCAGGATCAATGTGGTACACTAATAGTTTGCTAAATTTATATAATAATACATCTAAAAAAACATAAATATTTCACTTTATATATAAATTAATAATTTTTTTGTACATCAAAATTATATATATAAATTACTCAATTATACAATTTTTGTAAAATATAATTCTAATATTATTTTTTTTAAAATTAATATCTTTTTTAACCTCATTCTTAATTTTTCTTAATACATTTAAAAGCTTTGGTATAATATTATCATACTATAAAAAAAATTATATAATGTAATTATTATTTTGAGTGCATTATTATGCAAAACATGCTCCAATAACAAAAATAATATCAAATAATTAATTTATACACTAATTAAATATAAAAAAATTTAATTGATGTATAAATTAATAAATTATTAATTTATTAATTAAATAAAAATTTAATTAATAAATAAAATTTATGATCTAATAGTATTAATTTATATAAATTTATGACACTTTAAATTACAATGACTACAGAACAAATCATCCTCGTATTAATCTTTTGTCCTCGGCTTTCAATGGAACAGTGGACGTGTCAACTTCAAAAACCATAGGCTAGAAGCTACCGCCGGATCTTTCGCCACGTTTCAGACAGCACCAAACAACCGCCGTCATTTAGCAGAAACCCTAACTCCGCTGGACCCCACATATTATCCATTAATGTATTTACGTGTCTACCAGCACATGCTTCTCTTTTCTTGCCAAATACCCAAAATAACATCCACGCTAAGCCCAATAATTGCCGTCAACCAAGGGTATTGGAGTAATCCCAAAAACTTATCGCACGTGCGAAGGCTCAAAGAACGCGGGATCTCGCACGTGCTCGCCGTCAGAAAAAATTGCTCTCTTTCGCTTTCCCTCTCTCTCTCTCTTCTTTAAACACCGTTAATTAGATTTCCCCAAAGAAATTTCTAGGGTTTTCAGAATCTCCGAAATTTGCTCTCTTTCTTGAAATTTTGAGAGAGAAGAAAAAGTTAAATTTAGAATTTCCGATATTTTTGGGGTTGAGATTGGGAAAATCGGGGTTTCGATTTGAATTGGATGGTGCAGTTAATGAGATCGGGAAATCTTAGGCCGGAGCCGGAGACGACGTGCCGGGACAAGCCACCGGTGAAATTGGAAATCGTCGAGGATACTTTAGAGGAAGAACATGGCCCTCTTAGTAAACGATCCAAACCCTCTCCAAATCTTCAACAGGTAAGTTCTTTTTTCAAATTTATTTCCCCGTGTTTGTTTAAGAAATAAAACATTAAATTAATTTTGGAGAAAGATGTCAGCTATTTAAGAAAGAAAAAAAAGAGCTTTGTATTAGAGGTTTTAAATTTTAAAGATTTTATTTCTGTGTGTTTTTTGGCATTATTTTGATGATTTTTTGTTTGTCAGTGGAACTCCGACGTCAATGCTTTCCCGATCCCTCCATCGCAATACAATCCGTTGGATGAGCCGAGCCCACTTGGTTTGAGGCTAAGGAAGAGTCCTTCACTTTTGGATTTGATCCAAATGCGCCTTTCTCAATCCCAAAGCAGTAGCTCAGCTGCCGAAGCTGAAAATTTGAGCTCTGGATTCAAAAAGGAGGCTAAAGCTGCTATTATTACCGATAAGCTTAAAGCCTCAAATTTTCCAGCATCCATTCTCCGAATCGGCCATTGGGAGGTAATTTTTTAATACGTTTAGTTTAATTGTGTGATTAAGTGCATTAATAATGCCGGTCAAGTAGCTGAAGGATTGTTTAACTTGGTGATTTGTAGTATAAGTCGAGGTATGAAGGTGATTTAGTGGCCAAGTGTTATTTTGCAAAGCATAAGCTTGTTTGGGAGGTATTGGAAGGTGGGCTGAAGAGTAAGATTGAAATACAGTGGTCGGATATTATGGCTCTGAAGGCAAACTGTCCTGATAATGGACCAGGGACTTTGAATGTTGTGGTAAGATATTTTTGTTTTTGGTATAATCTTCTCTGTTTCTCTCTCTCTGTCTCTCTCTCTTCTTCTGCAATCTGAATATGTATGACTTCGTTATTTCTTCTATGCTGCAGCTGGCTAGACAGCCACTTTTTTTCAGGGAGACTAATCCACAGCCTAGAAAACACACCTTATGGCAGGCAACTTCAGATTTTACTGACGGTCAAGCTAGCATGCATAGGTAAGACTAACATGGATCTAATTCTTATTTGTGGTGGTACAAGATGAATTTTGAAGCTTTATCAGAGTGTTTGCATATGGCTATATGGCTAATATACTAATGCAAAATTTTTATTGTTGCTTTTTAGGCAACATTTTCTGCAGTGTCCCCAAGGATTGTTAAACAAACATTTTGAAAAGCTCATCCAGTGTGACATGCGTTTGAACTGTTTAAGCAGACAGCCAGAGATAATTTTGGATTCACCATACTTCGAATCACGAACTTCAGTGTTTGAGGATCCTGATGAACCGAAAGGGCAAGGTTTTGGCCAGGGGGAGACTGGTAAAGGATCCACTAGCTCTGGCTTTCAGAATATAGCATCACCAGCAGCTCAGTCTTCATCCCTGGAGATTGAGAAAGGGGATTCTGCTGGTATAACCTCAGAAAACATGTCCAGGGAAGCTCCGTCCCCCAGTTCAGGTACAGTCAGGAGCTTTGGGTTTGCTTTTGATGTGCTGATGGATAGAGTTTCTAAGCTATTTAGACTTTCTGTATCCTCTTTTATTTACTTTATTGAAGTCCAATGACTAATACAATGTGGTGTGTGATTTCTTAGGAGTTTGCATACATTTGATCTAAAGCATTCTCTTTGATTATTGATAATGATGTTGCACAGACTTGAAGTTATATATCTTTTTGCTAATGGTGGTGGTACTGTTGTGATATAGGTAGCAGCATAAAAGTACACAGTAGTCTATTTTTTTTTTTCTATATAAGCTGTATTCAGCAAATACATGCTATTTGAATTGTTCAGTGTCTGATGGATTGTGCATATACATGCTATTTGAATTGTATTCTGCATATAGCTTGAGTACAATAATGTTTTCTTCCTTATGACACAGTATAAATAATCTATTTGTAGCTGTAGCATTCTTACTTTTCTTTATTCTTCTCTAATTAATTTCTCATTTCACATTAGTGATGGACTCTCATGCCATTGAAGGAAGTGGAGTTTGTGAAGCAGTGGATTCAAAGGGGTCAAGGAATTGGGACCAGATAAAAGTGCCTGGACTTCACCCATCTATGTCCATGAGTGATTTTATGAGCCATATCGGACACTGTCTTTCGGAACAGATGACCTCTGGAAATCCATCTTCTGAAAATATACCAGACTGCCAGGAAATGCTGGAGGAGATTGCACAGTACCTTCTCAGTGACACTCAGTTTACAACAGCCTCTGATGAGAAATCCCTCATGTCAAGGGTCAATTCTCTCTGTTGTCTTTTGCAAAAGGACACTACAACAGGCACAAACTCACAGGCTAATGGAGAAAATTACGGTGGACCTGATGATGGAAAAGATGTTCAGCTGAACAGAAGTCACGAATCTGGGTTTAATATTACAGCTAACGGTGATGTGAAGACTTCTGAAGGGGATACAAAGGAAGTCTCTACTAGCAAGCAGGCTCCAGGCATGTCAAGAAAAGACTCATTTGGTGAGTTGCTGCTTCATCTTCCCCGAATTGCATCTCTCCCAAAGTTCTTGTTTAACATTTCAGAAGAAGATGGAGAGAGTCAAGCTAGATAAGATAGTGTTCTTGTTTATTGACCTTTCAGAAAATGATGAATTTCCCAATCTCTCTCATGTTAGTTGCAAATCTGAAGGTTGTCTATTATATCAAATGTATGTGGAGGGATGCTTCGACAATGGGATTTATCAGGATTTGGAAAATTCTTTTGATGAAGAATTCTAGTAAATCCCATGTAAAAATCTTTAGGGGTTCTAGCAAAATTGTTTGATGTAATATCTGGAGCAGATTGTTGTTTCTATTTTAATTTGTAAGTAAATTGTAATTGATCTGTGCAAGTTCTGTTCTTATCATACACTGTGGAAATTGCTAAATTGCTTTTAGCGCTTGATTGTAAGTTGGATATTTCGACATGGAGGGATTGGGGAGGGTTTCCATTTTGCTGTTTGGTGAGGTTGGTTCCCCTGGATATTTTGTTGGACCCTGTTGATAGATGTTTCGTATTTCTAATTTTTGCGGGCAACCATTCAAAGAGTCATAACCACTGGCTTGAGGATTGTAATTAATGTAATCAATGGGCCTTTCAAAAATAAAAAGTTTGTAATTAATGATAGTGATAAGACTCGCTTTGTAATTAATGACAGTGATAAGGCTTCCTTTCTTATAGCAGTTCGGATGCTAAGTTGTTCTCAATTCCTTCTAGTTATCAAACTGTACTCTGTTCCAAGGGGAAAGACAGACAAGTAACTCTTGTGTGAGGGATCAAGTTACTTCAACTATGGATATTGAAAAGTTCTGATAGAAGACAGTTCAAGCATTGTCAGCAATACAAACTTGTTTGAGCGTTGGTGGGTGGCAACTTTTAGTGTTTTCCATTGCATATATTCATGATTAAAGAAATTTCAAGCAGTTCCATCCCTTGATTGCCAAGGTTTTGGAAGAATGAACAAAATGAATGAAAGGTCAATGAAAAGAACTTTAGAGGACGAACTACACATATCCCAAAACATTTGCACGTCACTAGGAGGTGTGGAGCAAATTAAGTCAATGAGCTCAAAGCTTCTGGGTTGGGATATCAAACACATCCCCAGATCGCGTAATGACATGGCCGACAGCCTTGCCAAAGACGGAGTGAGAAGATCAGAAGATTTATTGTATATTTTTCTCGAATGATGCTTACTGTCTTATGAGTGTGGTTTATGACTTTCTGTTCCTGTCAGTAAAAAAACGAAAACAAGAATTTACTGTTTTCACTGATTATTAGTTCGTTTTAAGATTTCTAGATACTAGTAAAATTGATGTGTGATTGTTCAAGAGACCATATGTTGTATTGTCCTTACCTTGGTTGTTTTTTGATAAGCCAGATTAGTAACTGACTACTGTCTTAAGTCAGATTCTTTTGTAAATTACATGACTCCCTGTCTTGATCAATGAAAATCCTTACTTGTTCAAATAAAAAAAAAAAGATGTAACATGCTGTGAAAGGCATGACCACATGGAAGAAAAGCTGGCTCCGGAAACATCTTCTGATCATGACTGGGAAGGGGAATAATACGTGAAAAGTTGTGCTAGTGGGAACTTAAACGTGGATGTACAGAGGAAAGTGAACACGCTCCTCATTCCAATTTGTTACGGAAAACAAAAGGCCCAGTAACCTTTTCCGCCATGGTATTGTTAAAATTCTTGTTCTCACAGTTCATGGGATAAGATAAGAAAAAAAAGAGGTAAAGAAAAGGGAAATTTTGTGATGGAAATTAATATATGATTCAACCATATATCAATGTGATAAACTGTCACAAAGTAAGTTCAGCAATCCTTACTTTGTGTACAAGGATACGAATATATATACATGTAGTTTATGAAGTAAGTTTTTCCATTCCATATTTCTTACAATTGCATAAAATTTATGGTTCATGAAGTTGTCAACGTTTCCCATTTGTATTCGATTTTCTTTCGACTTTCTACTCTGTAAAACAGCCAGAGAATGTAGTACAAAAAATGAGAAGATTTTAAGAGAATGAAAAAATATAGAGGCTTTAAGACAAAATACTGGCACATATTATGCAAGGAGGATCCCTAGACTTCTCTTCTGATGTGACGAACTGCAAGCACTGGCTATGATAGACATGACCACAAGAAAGAACAGCATTCTCCGAAGGGTTTAGACGCTCTATATCTAGACCATGTTCTGGTTTACTTGCTAGATCACCATCGCATAAGAGACAGCTCTTCCCAAGTGGCACAATGCGCTCATCAAAACCTGCAAAATTGGAAGGAAATTGTTATGATCAAGGTTATTATTATTTTTTCAGATTTCCGTTTTGGGTTAATTCTAAATGAACACTAAATTGGTGGATCTTTACATTGTATAACAGATTACAGAAAACATCAAGCTGTCTCTCCATGCAATTAACTCTGCTGGCCTTTACTTTTGATATCTTCTAACATACTAGGCCGCAGGTTTCCCCCCTTTCCCTAATACTTTTGCTATCCTTAGATTGAAACCGAGTTCACCAATTTTTATTCCTTGTTATTTCACATATAAGTTCTGTCAGTCTAAGCAATCCGCCACACATCTCTGTTATATGTTTTTAACTCTACTCCTTTAACATGCTACTTGAAAAGAGTGGTAAGCCAAATACAAGATATTTAATTTCCAGGATCTCTTCAGGGATTTTTCAGGCAAATGTATATGCAATTAGGCATGTTACAAGAGCAACTATATTATTGGACTAAACTGAAAGAACAATGTTGTACTCAGATCATCAGCCATCCGCAAGTGTTGGATGCATGTTAAAAGATATTAGTATCAGATAAGTGTAGAACAAACCAGAAAGAACCTGTGGACATACCTTCCCACACAATATGATCTTCGTAGGTACAGAAAAGTTGCTTTTGTCTTGGTTTGGCTGGGGTTGTCTCTATTGTCCCTGTAACCAGCACAGAAGGCAGAGTTCTACCTGTTGCACTCTTGCTGACCAGATCAGAAGTGCCTTTGGAAGGTTGGGATTTTTCCTTTTTCTGAGTAACCTGCTTCTGTATCGGAAATCTACTAGTAGTTTCATTCTTCTTAACCAACGCTGCGGAGTCTTTGGGAGATTGGGTCGTTTCCTTTCTCTGCATCCTATGTATTGATACCGGAAATCTACTAGTTCCAATATTACTATCAATTGATACTGGAATTCTAACGGTTCCAATATTCCTGACCAATCTTGCAGGATCTTTGGGAGGTTGGGCTGTTCCCTTTTTCTGCATTACATGCTTTGATGCCAGAATTGTACCTATTCCACCATTCTCGACCAAATCTGTTGGATTTTTGGGAGGTTGGGTTCTTTCCTTCTTCACAAAACGCATCGACGCCCGAATTCTACTAATTGTACTCATTTTGGCTGATTCTGTGGGATCTTGGAGAGGTTGGGTTGTTCCCATCAGTCTACGCTGCTTTGATTCCTGAATTCTACTAGTTACACTCCTGAACGAACTTGAGGGATGTTTGAGAGGTTCTATTGTTTCTTCTTGCTGCTTAGACAGCCTAGACACTGGAGGTCTATTGGATCCACTCTTTTTAACCAAGGGTGCAGAATCGGGGTTCCCCCCTGTCTTATTGTATTGATGCTGTTGAGCATGACCTGATTTTCAAGAAGTAATCTATCAGCTCTAATTTCAAGCTGAAAACATGGTTTGTTAAGGCATCTTACATATGAGAAATCAATTCTGTTAACAGAATAATTAGGAAGTTCCCCATATACAGTAGATAAGAAGTAGATAAGGCTTATAAAAAAAAGATGTGGATAAATTGTTAATATCCAAGCATGATCTTACTTTAGGGATGAGATAAACATAATCAAGAGCCAAAATTGCAAAATACCTGAGCGACTTTTCACTTTATTGAATCCCGTCGGCTTAACTAGTGCAGAGTTTGCTAAGTTTTCAGTTTGGGAGGTCCTAACTTCATCAGCAGAACCATGCTTTAATCCTAAAGGATGTTGTCCACTGACAATACGAGTGGATTCTATCGAATCTCTGCTTGACATTGCCTCTGCTAAAGCAGGGTTAGAGGCTCGAGAAGATTCACCAGCGCGGTGTGTACCATTCAGAATTCCACGAATATGACGCCAAGTCCGAAGTCCTGTACTGTGACCAGAGCTCGAAGCGCCACTGGGCAGGTTGTTGCCAGGACTTGGAACGGCTTGATGGGGAGGACGGTTTGTGCTGCGGCGTTGGGAATTGCCACCAATTACCTTCCTGGAACCATGAAAAATTGGTATGTGTTAGGAAAGTAATTTCTAGAACTCATCAGACTTGTATACAGATATGGGTTAATAAAATCGGCCTCAGGGCCAAAGGGATAGCACTGATTATGAACCATCTGCATTGCCTGCAAAAAGCAAGCAAAGATCTTGACGAAGGTCGAAGGCCTTGCCTGTTAGTGTTCTCCAAGAAGCAGAGTCTTGGATCTTCCCTTTGATCAAGAGGGTCATCCTTCGACGTCGCCATTGAAAAATAAAATCCTGGAAAGTGAAATCACAAAGAAGAAAGAGCACATGTAACATGTTCTTTGGAAAAAGAAGTTAAAAAGATCCAAACCCATCTTAATCTGGCACATATCAATAAAGATTGAACTAATGCAAACGAAGGAACAAAACATGGGAAAGGCACAAGCGTTGAAACAGTTCGACATAAACAATATATATATATATATATATATATGGATAAATCATACTCTGATTAACGTTGACAGAGAAAACCTGCGAATGGTTTCAAGAAAACAATCTACGTTTGTTGGTTGGAGGTAGGGTTTAATCCTCCATATAAAGGCTTTGGTCCACGACTTGTCCTTCTCTAATGTGGACTAGAAGTCTTATCACAACCGCCTTTATTTTATTAATGTGGACTATGACCCTTCCATAAGATATATAATTTTATAATTTGTTGACACTTGTAGTATAATTAATCACTAGTTTAATTTCGTTTGACTATTTCTTATGTAAACATTATTACACTTTATTTTTTTTATTCCTTAAATTATAAATTTATCTTTTCAATTAATCAAAGTAAATATTTTCTTACAGTAATTGCTGCTAAGAAAATACATCAATTATGAATGCAACTTTCTTATCCTTTTTTTTTTCGTTTCTCCTTTATTTCCGTATCACACTTTTAGGTTTTTTCATTTTTTTTTTTGAAATTTTTGCAACTTCTATTATATTTTAAAACGAAATTATTAATTAGACTTTCGTTTTTATTCAATTATTTGCATGAAATATGAACTACGGTGTTTGAAATTTAAATATGTTTTAAACTTATCAGAAAAAATTTACATTTTTTATGGAATTATATGACTATTTTATTTAAATTGATTTGCCGTACACTTTTTGCTGTATCATTATCAAAGGGTTTTCTTTACTATTTTCTTCCCTGCTTTCAGTTGCAATAAGTATATTTTGTTTTATTTTATAAATATTAGTACTTTTAATTATGCAAACAAATTAATAAAAAATATGTTTCAGTTTTCAACTGAATATGCTTAATTTTGGTTATTAATATATAATCTTTTCAATAACTAATCTTGTTTTACGGTAAATTGTATTACTACATGGAAAACAAAAATAAAATCATATATAAAAGACAATATTTAATGTAATTCGGCACCTACCGTCTACACTCACAAAAGGAAAAAAAATTTACTATTAACACTCGAACATTTGACTTATTAGTTGTTACGTTATCCGTTTGTCTGAAAGAACAGGATTCGAATCCTCTCTTTTCTAATTATAAAAGAAATTATTATTAAATGTAAAAATTAAAAAAAAATACAAAACACTAAAAAACAAAGAGTAAACTCGAATAAAATTAACTTAATATTCATGTTTACATGTTTAGATCAATGGAACAACTTTTACAATTTTGTGAATCGCTCATAAAAAATTTATCTCTCACATAAAGATCATCTCTCTCATAATTCTAAAGGCTAAAACCAACTTCATATTTGAAGAACCCTATCTATTACTTGATTATCAAGAATTAAGTAGATTTACTTTTAAATAAACTTAAATATCTCAAGCATTAAGAATTTCAAAGATATTTGCTTTGATCTTCCTCTACACTATCAGCATATCCATTTTCCTTGTTTGCAACACTATCTCTTCTTATTACAGAAGAAATTCCTCTACAACCCTTGTCTCAATATTTCATCCTTGTACTTTTCTATCTATTTCATAACAAGCAAGAGCTTAAATTCCAAAGGGTTGCTTATTTACGAGGTTAGAGATCTTTACATTAGCTATTTCACTTTATGAGCTATCCCATTTGAATGTTTCTGATTAGGAAACTAGGCCGACAGGGTCGTTAAATTAACAGGCATTTCTTTAGTTAATGCAAGAAAGGTTGTAAAGTTCTTGTTCCTAATCCTAGATATGTTTTGTCATGCCAAGGAAACAACATGAAAGATCAAGTGATTCATATGAATCACATCAACAGCGAGAGTTGATTCCTTGGAAAGTTACTTGGGTTATCCAATCTAGTTCTTTACCCTTAGCTTTGTATTTGCTTTATTCTTTGCCACCCTCGCTTCTTTCTGTTTCATATATTCGTAAAAATCAAAGTCAAGCTTCATATGCAATGTACTTGAGACAAAATCTGCATTCATTTTCTGGTGGCTCATCAATGCGCCGAAGCTACCCTATATTGACTTGAATCAAGATAATGGCAGTGTCCAGCTCCCTGGAGTATAAACCAACATGGGTGGTTGCAGCGGTCTGTTTTGTCATTATTCTTCTATCTCTTTTCGCTGAACGTGGCCTTAATCACCTTGGAAAGGTACCCTTACATTCTTCTGACCTCCAGGTTTCACCAAATCTATAATTGTATTTTGTACAACGATAAAATCACAATTCTTTTTTTCCTTTATTCCAATTAAATATTTGTCCTGGAATTCAAACAGAAGTGGGAAGGGGAAGTGCAAGTTCCAAATTTATTTAGTGCAATAGCTCCAGGGTGTGAGCTTTTCTTAAATTACCAGACTTACAGATGACTTTAGAGGTCAAATTCATGTTCTTAATACAAGAGGAAGTTCGAAAGACGAATTACGTGCTTCCGAAGCAGGTCAAACCAACTTGTACCTGCTTTATAAACGTGACTAAATCATGAGTCATTCAACATTTAGAGAGAAATCTAATTCTATGTAGGATCATATATGCCTATACAGTGTAAAATTTTGCAGAACGTGAAGGTCTTAATATTTCTTAGGACTTTCGCATTTATATTGCAGTCACTCACAATGGAATTCCTTTATCCCTTGATCTTTCTTTTCTATTGGAGCTGTTCTACGAAGCTTCCAGAACTAAAATTTTTCAGTTCATGGGTGTCCCACACCTAAGAAAATCTTGTGTATGTTTTTGACTTGGCAATCCAGTGGTTGAGGCGTAACAAACAAGATGCACTGTTTGAAGCATTACAAAAACTAAAAGCAGGTTTGCCCTTTCTTCTGTCTTGAACTTCTCATGCATTAGCAGTGTTTTAGATTTGCTGAATTAAAATGTCGAGGCAGCTCTTGTAACGCTTAGTAATTTCTGTCACATTTAACAGATTAAGAGTTAATCCAACTTAGCTCTGAGGTTCTGTAATTTAGTTATATATGCAACACAACATTAACCAAGTAAAAAGTTTTATCACAATTGCGAAGGTAAAATTTTAGGGAGTTTGAAGCAATTATGTACTTGGCTTTGAATATTTACTTGCATTCACACATAATGTCTTGTATCAATTAGACATTCAACTTTAAGATGCTTCTCAGTTTTTCAGATTGTCCATGAATTAACTGTTGTACCTGATGTTGACCAAATACAGTTTCACTTCTTACTTTAATTCATGAATGGTCATTTAAGGCGCGGAAATGGCACAGATTGATTCCTAACTTATCTGCGCAACTGATGTTTCTTGACAGAATTGATGCTATTCGGATTCATTTCCCTTCTATTAAATGTCTTTCAAGGTCTAATAAGTCAAATCTGCATCCCAACTCACTTGGAATCTAGTATGCTTCCATGCAAGAAGCATGTTGAAAGCAAAAGTCACAAAGAATTTTCTTCTCTACCTGTCAATGAACGTCTCCTGTTTTCTGCAGATAGTAGTTCAGAGCATTGTTCACGTGAGGTACGTTACCATGCTTAAAGAAGTTGTTTATTTTTTCAGCACCCTGCTGGTGCTGGCTAATGAATGTGGCCCTTCATGTCAATTGAGGAATGTCTATTGCATTACACATCCCCTTTCACATAAATTTCCCATTTTTTTTAATGAGAAAATACAATAATG